ACATACAACCGTTATTCGCACAAATACAATATACCAATATACAATATACGTCTATAAAAAATATTAGCTGCACGAGCAGAAAGACGAAAAGACTAATGATTGGTTCGCGAAAGAACATATTCTGCTGCTAAATTTTTAATCATTTTTATTATGAAATGTAAACAATTTTTTGCAGCTGCAAATAGTAGGCTCATGCGGTTTTGTAAATTCGGTGCATAGTACCTGGGCTAACCGGTGTTTCACATCTTTCAAAAAATGTCCACCGCTACGCCGGCATGTGCTCAGTGTGCAGAGATTATTACCCACAATATGTATGTAGATAATTGAATGATTTGATTCTTTTTCATGAATATAAGCAAGGAACGCTTAGGGACGCTCTCACAGCATAATCACTACTTTTATACCCGGTACTCAGTTACATGCGTGCTCTGTGTACAGTTTACAGTTGGTACTCATTTCCGATGTTTCTAATTAGAGCTAGTTTCCATGCTATTTTGACTATCGTGATAATAATATTGAATATACTTTCACGTGTATGTTGCAGGCTCTAATAATTGTACGGTATCTCTAATAGTTTGGCGCCATTTCTTCGATACAAGGAAAAATTGTGAAATCATTTGAAGATGTTGAAGAATAAAACTTTGAAAACGGCGAAATTGTTTGTTGTCAAGCGAGGTAGGCAAAGAAACAAAGTTTAAGAAATAGTTTATTCTCTTCATGGTTTTTTTTTTAGATGGAAGACAAGAAGAGGTACATTTTGATAAAATTACCTCACGCATTCAGAAGCTGTGTTATAATTTAAATATGGATTTTGTTGACCCTGTAAGTTGAATTAAATTTCTTTTTGGCTTGTTTGCATTTATACGAACATTTATACTAGTAGTACATGTTTTGAACATACAGATATACAAGTGTACATACTTAGATATGTGCATGTGTGTGCACTTGTTGATCTTTAAGAATGAAAATACAGTAAATAGTTGTTAATGTACATATATGTTCCTACATATTTATTTTATTAGTTATTTGATAATACTTTATCAACATGTACATATGTACATGTACATGTATGTATGTACATACATTGTGGAAAGTAAATTTATCGTTTGGGTTAAATATGTATGTATGTACATAAGGTAATAAGAAGGATGTACATATGCAATGAGCTTTAATTAAACTGTTCTTTTTCAGGTATCCATTACACTTCAAGTAATAAATGGTTTGTACTGTGGTGTCACTACACAAGAACTAGACAATTTGGCTGCAGAAATTTCCGCTGGCTTAACTTGCAATCATGCCGACTATGCCATTTTAGCTGCTCGGATTGCAGTTTCTAATCTGCATAAGGAAACAAAAAAAGTTTTTTCTGGTATGTAATCTGCCTAAGTAATATTAATTTATATAAACATTGTTGATCAGATGTTGGCTTTGAAAGCCAGTTTTGTTTATTAATTAGTATTTTATTATTTATTTGTATTTATTAGTTTTAATAATCCGATGCATTATATTTGTCAGATGTCTTCGAAGATCTCTTCAAAAATGTCAACAACGAAACAAACTCTGCTTCCCCAATGGTATCGGAATTTCATTACAATGTTGTCAAACAAAATGCTGATCGGTTGAACTCTGCCATTATCTATGACCGAGATTTTGGCTATAACTATTTTGGATTTAAAACGCTCGAGCGTTCCTATTTACTTAAAATAAATGGGAAAATTGCAGAACGTCCACAGCACATGCTAATGCGCGTCGCACTTGGTATTCATGGAGACGACATTGATGCAGCAGTGGAAACTTATAACCTACTGTCGGAACGATATTTTACGCATGCTTCGCCAACCCTTTTTGCAGCTGCTACAAATCGACCTCAACTATCCTCTTGTTTTCTTTTGACAATGAATTCGGATTCAATTGAAGGTATTTTTAAATCAGTTGAACAATGTGCGCTGATATCAAAGTCAGCGGGTGGAATTGGACTTAATGTTCATTGCATTCGTGCCAAAGGCACTTCGATATGTGGAACGAACGGTACTTCAAATGGATTAGTTCCAATGCTAAGAGTTTTTAATAATGTGGCACGCTATGTTGATCAGGGAGGCGGAAAAAGGCCTGGTGCCTTTGCTATTTATTTAGAGCCCTGGCACTCAGATGTTTGTGAATTCTTAGACCTAAAAAAAAACACAGGAAAGGAAGAAAACCGAGCAAGGGATCTTTTCTATGCTTTATGGATTCCCGATCTTTTCATGAAACGTGTTGAAGCAAATGAAGACTGGTCTTTGATGTGTCCACACAAATGTCCTGGACTTCAAGATGTTTGGGGAGAACAATTTGAAGAGCTTTATGTGAAATATGAGCAAGAGGGACGTGCGAATCGAACAGTGAAAGCTCAGTCGCTATGGTTTGCCATTATAGAATCGCAAGTTGAAACAGGTAACCCATACATGCTTTTTAAAGACTCTTGTAATAGAAAGAGCAATCAACAAAATGTTGGCACCATTAAATGCAGCAATTTATGTACAGAAATTGTTGAATACTCTTCACCCGATGAGATCGCTGTTTGCAATCTAGCTTCAATAGCACTCAACATGTTTGTAACACCTGAGAAAACATATGATTTCAGAAAGCTGAAAGAGGTAACCAAAACTGTTGCCAAAAATCTTAACAAAATAATTGATATTAACTATTACCCCCTGCCAGAAGCTAAGAAATCCAATTTTAGGCATCGTCCAATTGGAATAGGCGTTCAAGGTTTCGCAGACGCTTTAATCTTAATGCGCTTGCCGTATGAAAGTGAAGGAGCTAGTCTTTTAAATCAACAAATATTTGAAACTATTTATTATGGGGCTTTAGAAGCTAGCTGTGAACTTTCTAAAGCATTTGGTCCATATGAAACCTACGAAGGAAGTCCTGTGAGCAAAGGCATCCTACAATATGATATGTGGAATAAAACTCCAACGAACCTATGGGATTGGCAAAAACTGAAGGAGGAAATTAAACAACACGGAGTTAGGAATTCGTTGTTAGTAGCTCCCATGCCAACAGCATCTACTGCACAAATTATGGGTAACAACGAATCATTCGAACCATATACAACTAATATATATACGAGACGCGTATTATCTGGCGAATTCCAAGTGGTCAATCATCATTTATTGAGGGATTTAACAGAATTGGACCTTTGGGATGATGAGATGAAAAATAAAATCATTTCAAGCAGGGGATCCATTCAAAGTATTGAAACTATTCCCCAAAAGGTTCGCGATCTTTATAAAACTGTATGGGAAATCTCAGTAAAATCTACAATCCAAATGGCGGCTGATAGAGGTGCATTTATTGATCAAAGTCAGTCGTTTAATATTCATGTTGCAGAGCCTAACTATGGCAAATTGACATCCATACATTTTTTCTCGTGGAAAGCTGGACTAAAAACAGGAATGTATTATTTACGCACAAAACCCGCGGCTAACGCCATACAATTTACAGTCGACAAAAAACAAAGTGCATTCACGTTGAAAGGTCAAAATGGGCATGATAGCATATTAACTTCACCTGATGAAAATATCAATAACACTCAGCATGATGAATCAGATCGAGAACGTAGAATGGCTGAAATGGTTTGCTCCCTCGAAAATAAGGATAATTGTCTATCGTGCGGATCTTAAATGCATGTAAATGTCTATGTACTTAATTATAAATAAAATATATCCCGTCATGTATCAACACACAAAATAAAATAACGTATTCAGAAGCAAACAAAAATATTTCCACCTTTAACCAATATTAAATTAATAGTTTTAATAAATAAATATTATGAAGAACACTGCTGATATGTGTTTTTTTCTGGATTATGACAACGAGTAAGGCCAAACACAATATAACATATAGTAAGATCAGTAACGCCAAGTGATTGGCACTCAAAATTTTCTGCTTGGTTTTAGAGCGAGATACAGGCTCTCTCAAAATGTGGTTGGAAAGCCAGAGATAGCGCTCTAATGCCACCCGCTCTCTCATATGCGTTAAGTGGCATTCGATCTTTATAAGACCCCTTTAGAAGACGATTGTATACCCACTATTTCAGTTATTGATATACGGTTTTTGATATATCGTATATTCAGTTGTCAGAAAACACATTTGGTGATTTTTATATTTTGTTGACTATATTAATTTTTTGTATTTTTTATTTGAAAGATTGTTAATATGCCTATTTATCAGTAGATACATATGTAATCTGTAACATATATTATACTTATATTGTTGAATTAATTAAATTAAATGAATTGAATTGAATTATTAAATTAAGTCGATTATGTAAAACCACTAAGGTCCGTGCGCATTTGTGTTGTTCATATAAGACAAATATTTGTGGTTTACTGTTGTTAATTCAGTTGAATGATTTGAATGGTTTTTCGGGTTTGTTAATATAACAGGCAAAGTAAACATTTTCTTTAAAGTTGATATATTTTTGATACTTTTTTGTATATTACTATAGTTCTTAAAGTTATTCAACGAACGACCCAAATCAACATCCTGCCATTCCTGAACATTTGCCTTCCGAGGCGATGATGGATATACCATGTGCTGTAAAACAAACAATATTCATTTATTATCAATCGGAGCCGAGAGTTTATTCAGGATAGTCGACATAAATACACCCTTCAAATTGTAGTCTAGTATATCTCAAATACTTACCGAAACAAGAGCTCTTTCTGTGAATGCGACACTATTTCTGATAATGTCATCAGAATGATGGTGATAATAAAATTGTGGATTTTGTGTCTCCGTGTATCTAGTAGTGCTGCTTATGACGTCAACGCCATAATGGTCAGAATTGGTAACATTATCGTATCCGTTGCTATTACTAAAAATATCCACAATACTTATTGTATGAAATTCGCTGGGGTAAATATAAAACGTCATAATCAAGCCGCTGTATATTATTAAATGAAATAAAATACATGTCCAAATGAGTTTTATCTGAAAATAGAAACAGTGAGTACCTTACTTAAACCAAAATCAATTATTAATGCAACCTTTTTCTTTCGTCCGTATTTCGAAAATGTTGTAAATGGCACAAGTGAAATTGTTAAAAATCCACCACACGCCACTCCGGCCAAAAGTCCAACAAAATTAAGCTGATAGGGAAGTGTTCCAATTCCGATCAATACACTACACAAGAGTAACAATTTAAATAAAGCAATATGAGGCTTGTGAAGACATTTCCAGTGCATCCATATTAAAAGAGCAATAAGTGAAGACACCACACCACAGAGGGAGGCTGATGGTCCAACCTGTAAAAATTAATAAAATGATTTTTTAATTTAGCAGATGAAACATTACAAAATCTCTCTTGTAAGAACTGAATTTGTGCTTCCTAATTATTAGATATTTAAATACTATATTATATATTATATATAAGTATTGTAGGATATTCACCTCTGGGCGATGCGGTACAATTATAGCGCTAGTCAGATTTCCAGCAAAGCCGGATACTATGTAGACAACAGCAGTTCGGAGAGTACCAATTAATTTTTCTAAATCAGCAAGAAACAAATGCTGAAATATTAGCGTAATTGCCAAGTGTAAAATGCCGGCATGCATGCACAGCGATGTTAACAGTCTATAGAGCTGATCTGGTGTTTCCACAGATATAAATGGTAACATGCCACAAACATTGTTTAGGCAGGAAATCTAAAAAAAAAATTTTACAATTACTGGTCGTTGACCACTTTAAGTCTCTTAAATCTTACCTGTGAGCAGAGAGAGGCTTCCTCATGAAAATATCCATTTATAAAATCACAATATTCCCGCGTCGTTATTCGGCATTCTCCATACAGCCCAGTGCAACAGGGATGACCAATCACTTCACAGACCATATGCTCAGAAGTATGGTCTTTATAGCGATAGCGCTGAGTGAATGAATTCGTTTTACGACAAATGGGCCACTTGGTGATGTCGTCGGGCCACTCATATGGTGCTATTGACGCTGGTGCATCACAAAATTTTGGATCTAGCCCACAAACTGATCCAGAAATTCGACCTCCAGGTCCAGATTCGCCGGGAGACCATTTTTTCCATGTAGAAATAGATTTCTGTGTAATGAAATTTAAAATATATAAGAAGTAGTAATTGAAAATCCAAACCGATTGATCTTAAGGGGAAAAGCTCAAGGGGAAAAAAACCAGGAGGAACGTGGTGATACTGGCTGGAACGCGGAATAACTTACATGTATGTATATCCGGTACTCACAGCGTTCCTCCACGTTTTTTGTTGTTATTTGTTAATTTTTTCATATATTTACTTACCGTAGGATAGAGGCCTCGTATACTACAATCCGCTTGAGAACTTTGAACGCATCCAGAGTCATCATTCCGAATACAGCAGGCTGTTTCCCTTTCGTGACGTCTTGTCTTAATAACCACGTCCATGATCTTAGTGTCCCGACGCATGCAAGCAGCAAACTTTGCACCAATGTGAACCAAGTCAATATTCCGTGGTCCAATCCACATATTTCGTTGCTCTATATGTTGAACCGTCTGCAGACTCAGACTGGTCACAAGTACCTGTCCAGTTTTTTGTTCAGAGCCAATTCCAATCGGAGCAATACCATAACATATTATCGATAGAACTAAAACAACAAATTGTACGGTATTTATCCAGTATGTAAATATAGGCCGATGATCCGTTCGATCGTCCAAATCATTGACTGAAAAGTATTTAATGCACCGTAAAGGAGGTCGCCTTGAATTTTCCAAGACGCCATCCAACAGCTGAGCTGTTATACGTGTTCCACGTTGGCATGCAGATGTTGTAGATTGTGATGTTCGCATTGATGGTTGTATTTGGCTAGGTATTGAGTTACACAATTGTATGTGACCCGCGCTCACTTGATGTAAACTTTGATCGGCAGTTAAATTAATATCACCACTTGTGCATGCATTGGTAATGAGAGCGGATGTTCGCCATCCGTTCTGGTGTCTTTCTGTCATATAAACACTTACTCCAACTCCTATATTGGGGACATTGGCTCCCAGTGTAGAGACACGTGGCTTGATAGCTTGTCTGCCAATATCAGATGTGTCATCATTTACCGATGCAGAAGATACTTCGCACGGACTATCAAAAAAGAGTTCATCCACAATTATCATTTCTAAAGCATCTGTCATGCTATTGGTTATTTCTATGTCAATCGGTTGATCATTGTGAATTGGATCAAAGCTAGAACTGCTTTGCACATGCAATGGTGCAAAGCTACGTGACCATTGATATTGATGTTTTACTCTGTGTCTGCAGTTTGTATGCCGCTTATAAAAAAAATGAAGCAAATAATTAACCAATGCAATAAACATGTGACCAACTGACGCCTTACGCTCTACAAATTCACCGTCACAAAAATCTCTATTACTATAGAATTTGGATCGTCTGTTATCTGAAGAAAATGTCATATTCATAGCATTCGCATCTTGCACTGGTAATATGTCGGGACGATCTTGTGCGTAATTATTACTTGCGTTGGCACAATTACGATTCAATTCCGAACTATTTTGCTTATCAACTTCAACATTAACACCATTTATAATCGACTGTTGGACACGATATTCTAGTGCGCTGTCGAATAATCCAAATCGACGAATAGCCAGTCGACGATGTCGACCATGCCACAGAGCACAATCTTCGGCCTCTGTGCTTGGCTCAACTCCAAAAAATTGCGAAGTTGTACGCTTTAAATAAATTACAACTCGCTTTTTGCAAGAGTAATGATGGGTTTGTGGCTGCGGTAGAATTTGCAACGATTGGTGTTGATGTGTCTGTGTGTGATGAGTGAGCTGTAAGCGTGGATTGCTTATAAGGTGGCTAAACGTAGCCGCAGTACCTGGTCCGTACAACTGATGATGACTGGACCCGTGCTTGAGTGCAATATTTCGACTATCCTGGAGCTTCGTTTGCACGGATACAATACTTGATTCGGTATTTGCAAGTTGATCGCTTAAACTGGATATTACTGGCGCAGTAATAGGAACAGACAAAGATATCGGTACAGGACTAATAGGTCCAGTCGTTTGTGTTGTCTGATGCACACCAGTGGTTCGTCGTGCTGTATTGCAATGCAAACATGTGCCAGCTGGGCTGTCTGCCTCTATTTGGGTTATTGTGGTACCCGGTGCTATAACAATTAACGAATCATTTTCCTCTGATCTTCGGCTGTTCATGTGTGAGTTGTCAGTACTGTGAGTTATTGTTTGCTCCGTAGTAGCTGTCATAATTGGCGAGCAGTGGCTTCCTGCTGAAAAAGCCATGGAAATACTTGTGGATGGTGCGGGCAATGTCGAGGCACAAGATGTTGAGCAAGATACACTTGCGACATATGTTTGTGATGGTTTGGTCAAACTTCCATGCATAGATTCGACATTTCCATTATGGCAGCATTTTGAACGATAATTGTATGGCATGTTGCAGTACTGAGACTGCACTGATGATGCAGGTGGGGTCATAATTCCAGAAGATGCCTGTAATGCAAGGCCTGCATAAAGATCAATAGCGGGCGGTGGAGTTGGAACATATCGCTTGACTGGTGTATGTACTGCAGATCCCAGATAAGCATTATAATTTTCACATTGATTCATCGGTAGCGTTACATTGGATGGTAACAATAATCGAGTTGAGGAAACTGATGGCACTGTTGATGGACTTTTTGCTGCTTCTAATATTTTAGTTTGTTGAACTGGCTTCGCGTCTCTGTAACGCTCCAAACGATATCTTGAGTTTGGGGATATGCCACGTTGATGGTAGTTTGTTGATCCGCCTAGACCATGCTTCGGCACTAGGGCATGGTTATCTGACTTTGATATTGTTCCATTACATGTATGAGTTTTTAACTGGTTAACACTACCCTCAAAACCATCACTATTAGGTGCCGGAGATGGAGGTGCTCCGGTATTGGCATCGTCGATCTTTTCCAGCGGAGATAGCTTTAACTTTCCAGCGTTGGGCTGGAACATATCACTCGACTGTGCATTTAAGCGTGCAGATTGCAAGCTGCAGTACATCACATCACATTCATTAGATTCGAAAGTCAGTGAGAATTGATTTTGAGAATGAACAGACTTTCTTTGATTGACGCTGACGCTATTACCGTTTGCACGCATTATGAAATGAGCATTGTCTGGACACTTTTTTCCAGTTCTACAATTATTGCCTGACTGTTTTTCTCCACTTGATGTCATAATAACTGTGATGGTTTTCTCATCTGAAAAGGTAAATTTAAGAGAGTATATTAAAAGCTGCGTAAGGTTAGGTTCCATGTTACCTAGTAAAATTCTGTGAACTTTGCATGTGTTCCTATTATATTTATATTTGTATTTATTTGCAGACAACTATTACCACTTTTTCATATTTTTAACATACAACAATAAGATACGATCTTATTGGTTATTTTTATTCGAAAATGTATTTAAGCCTCTGTCGCACAGGTGAAAAATGTCTAAGGGTAAAACCAGTTAAACTTATACAGGTTAGCTGAGCTTGTACCACGTAGCTCGAATTTTTAAAATAGTTTAATATATTAAAAAGACTTTTCGGAATAACTTTTCTCAAGAAATATCTTTCTTAAGGGTTATAATAGAACAAATGAAGTTTTGAGTTTTAGAATAGGGATTAACATCAAAGTGTATGTGATTATAGGTCAATGTGATGATTTTTCGACAGAATTATATTGAAATTTGTTTTTATTACCATTTAATTTGTTGGTCTTTGTGGAACTCATCAAACAAATGCCGATTTGTAACACTTTAAAACAGGACATAGCCACAGTTACAATCAGTGTTTATACTTATTAATTATATATGTATGTATGTGTGTAAATATGTACATATATATGTACAAAGGGAAAACATATTCTAAGAAATAGTTAGTTAGAATAAATTTACATTCCTTAAAGTTATGTACATACCTCATATACTTAGGTTAAACACAAGGAGCTGTTCTTGTATTCGCACAGAAATATTTGTGTTTCCTTTAACTCAAGAAATTTTTAATCGATTTTCCATTGTATTTTTTAGCCATAAAGAGGAATGTAACAAAACTTGCACAAAATTTATTAGATCTTTGTTCTTTAATATGTAAAATATGAGTATACTTTCATAAATTAATGAAATTATTTAGTAGATTTATTTTCCTAATATATTTTTCACAATCCTCGGTCCCATAAACGCTTTCAAATGTCGTACACCCAATTGCTTGAAAAACAGTTTGTATACTTACATACATATTTAGTCGTACATACACATGTATGTTTGTATGTGTGTGCAAAGGCAATACATGTTGAATGCGCATGTCCAATTTCGAGGCGACAAAAATACTGATTAACTTGATTTCGAATTTTAAATATATATTTATATGTGTAAAACATAGTAACATACATAGTTTTATATAATATTTTGATTAATGTTGAATTAACAAATATATATTTGCAATGTTTCTATTTTTATACCCGGTATTCGAAGAGTGCCAATTAGCCGTGTCCATGACTAGCCCAAGTCCACTTGGCTCTACAAGGAGGAACGTTGTGAGACATCGAATGAGTGCGACTTTTTTGAAACAGTCCTACCTTGGAACGGATTGGAAGTACTTGGCGCATTGCGCGGAGCGGATGTGCGTGCTCGGGAGCGTACCTGAGTCTGGATGTCATAAAGACCGTCCTTGGTCGCCTCGAGTGAAAGGTATGTATCTCACACATTGGAAATTATCCATGTCGCGCCAAAACGTCCCGCCAGGACCAGCACGCCATCTACGATGCAGCTTTAGATTTAGGGTCGTGGGGCACTGGTGGACGGGTCTATAAAGTTGTTTTAAGAGTGCTTCCGAGTCCTTTGGGATGGGAGACAGGCTGAACAAGGTGCTTAGTTTAAAACCTGTCTCGGAGGGCGTTCCATGCCCCCTCTAACCCTTCGTTTGTAAGTGCTGCCTGGTCCACTATATCATTGGCTTCAACGTTCGTCCTCGCGCTAAGGTTCCACCGGCGATAACGTCTGGTTAGCAATGAAAACGGCATGTCCCAGAAGGTGGGCCACTGCTGACAGTTCCCCTTTAAAACCAGCTAGGAACGGCTAGCTGCCCTGTCGTAGTGACAGGTTCCTTGTCTCAGCGTGACATTCTGGATCTGCTGCCGCCAGGACTGTGGCATATATTCTGGTCCAGTTTCCAACTTCCGCAGCATGTGGGGTTTGTCACCCCCTCTAATGAATTTGATCTACATATCGGTAGTACGACCAATTCTGAACCCTATTCGGAGTCGACCCTCTGTACATACGCGCTGGTCTGATTTCAGGAAATTCAGCACAGCACAGCGCCTCTTCGGTCTATTTGAAGAACGCCCATTTGCCACGTTTAGATTCCCCGAAAATGTCCAAATCATTGACATCTTAATACGAAATGGTCTTAATAAATAAACAAACTATATTATAAATACTTTCTACTGTATTAATTCTTTTTTAAGCAAAATATTTCTTTACAATAATATAAACAATGCTCTTGCTGCCGTAAGTTATTTTCAGGAAGATCTGCTCAGGGTAAGAACACCGTGGGATCTAACATACGTATTATAACTTATCTCTTTTTGACTTTGAATCTTCGTCTCCATTGCCTGCTGATCTTTTCCTAGTTAAACGATTTATTTTTCCCCTGAAAAAGAAAATCAGATAATCAATTAAACTAGTTATTGAATACCGTAATTAACATATGTATGTGTGTGTATCTAAGTATATGCATTTGGAATTATGCTAACGTTCATTAAGAAAGAATAGTGACCGAGGAGGAGCCCATGGGCTTTGGTACTTAAGTTTTATCAAGTCATTGCATTTTTGCGAATTTAATTTACGAAGGGCGAAAATGAAAAATAATAATTATAAAAATACAATTATGTTCTTACCCGGTGGAGCCGACATCGATTTTAGGTTTATCACTACTAATATGCAATCCCTCGTTGTCTCTGTATGGAGTAATAGTTCCTTGCATGGAAACATTCTGGCTTACTTTATTTTGAAGATTTGAAGCTTTGAATGAGTTAACATCCTTTTCCAGTGGTGAGGGAATAGATACTTCTAAAGTCGACTTTGCTGAATGTTGTATAGTTTTGCTTAACGTTCCAATTTTAGGTTGTTCATGAAGTACAACATTGGAGCGTTCATTGCGTGTAATACTTAAAGCGGCATCAGAAATACTCTTAGAAATTTCATATGGTTGCTTGGCGTTTCGAATAGTAGGCGAAAGGGTTGCTGGGGGTACGATTTGCTTGTCCCCATTGTTGTTCAAATAGTCCCTACTTGTTCCTGAAGTCAACCCCTTGCGAGTTATATTTTCTAAAGAAGAATTTTGATTAACAATAGGGTTTGCAGTGCCTTTATAAACATCGGAAAATGGCTGAACTTTTTTTTTTCGTTGATTACTGATTTTTGAAGAGTTAATGTTAAAGGGTACAGGATCTTTAATCGCTAATGTTGCCGACTTTGGTCTTTCTTCTGCTGAGACCTTCGTAAGATCAACTGTATTTATATTTTTAGCAACAATTGAATCATTCGCAGCACTTAAGCTCTTAGTATAATGAGAATCGAATATATTTAAATGTTCCTTTCTAGAAATTGCTTTATCTCCTACATTTGCCATATTTGTTTTATTACTTGAAGGATCATAGCCCTGATTTGAAAAATTTAGGAGCCCAGAGAAAGGATTTTCAAGAAACTGTTTGTATTGTTCAAGCGTCGACTGTACTTTGAGTGCATCCTGGGTTGGTAGCTCAACATTTTTAGCATGTCTATGAAATAAATCATTTGGAGTTATAGAACTAGAACTGTTCGAAACACCGGCTGCACCCGCAGAAAGAAAATTATGATTTCCTGAATTGATTGCACTATAAGGTGATGAGACATAGTTATTATCACTTAAATATCGTAACGATGAAAGCTTTTGGTAGTAGTTTAAGCTGTCCAAGTAATTTTGATTCATATTATAATTTAGTTGAGGCATAAATGAAGCTGACTGAATGCTGTAGTTTAATAAATTTTGCATCTGAAAAACAGAAATTATGAAACAATTATAAAATGCTTTCTTTTTACGAGAGCCGAAAAAATACTAAAATCGAAGAAAGTTTGTCTCACAACATTCCTCCTAGTTGTTTTTTAATTTCTACTTACATCCAGACTTGGAATTGGAGCTAAGTACGAGTTCAGTCTCGAGTTCGGAGCACTGATTTGACCTCTGAAAAAAAAGTGTTTGTAGTTCTTATTTTTTTCTAATAAGACAATTCTTACTTTTCAGCATTTAATCCTTCTTGTTGTTCTATTGGATACAAATTTAAATTAATAAATGCATTTAATATCATTTGATTTGACTTATTACCCAGGTTAACTTCCAATTCCCTTTCGTAAGTGTCCCAAGCATCCGCCTTTTCTTGTTCACTCAGCTCTTGCTCGACTTTATTTTCTAAGAGACTATCATGTTCATGGTATTTATAAACAAGCTCCGACTGTCTCAACAAGTGAGCTAGTATGGTATCCTTAGGAAGCACAGGCATGGTTCTTTCACTTTTTTTTGGTTTCGTCAACCTATGAAGTAAAAAGTATGATAAATGGAAGTTAATATACAAAAATAAAAACTCTCACTCCATAAACGAATTTTCCGAGCTCATGAAATATACACTTTACTTACGTATAAAGTTCTGCTAATTCTTCCATGTTATAATGCCTATCTATTTGTTGTTCATCTACTACTCGAAAACTCATAGCTTGTTTTGTAACAGATCGAGAGTAAACTTTTTCTTCCATAGTGCCCTGTAAGTATTAAAAAGGATTGAATTATTGAAGAGATTGAATTATATGGCTTATTTTACAATACCATTGCAATCAGACGATATATATAGCAATTTTTTTTTTGTCCCAGGCGAAATACTCGAAATATATTTTGTTGATCATTGGATGGATTCCACGAGGTGTCTAAAATGATTACTCTATTCGCACCAATTAGATTAATTCCTTGGCCACCAGCCCTGGCAGATATTAAAAACACGCGTGCACGTCTGTTGGCTTCGCTGTTGAATCGTTTTATCATTTCATGTCGTATGTTTTTTGGTGTTTTACCATCCAGTCTGTAATAGTCTTGCCCACTGATCCATTTTCCTGCGGGTTTTTGGCTTGATGGTACATCTGTAATTGGAAAAGTTTGTTAGAATCTTCATATTATTCGCATACTTCGGTAAAATGTTTCTAACATATTTTTTAACTTTTCGAGTAGCTGGTTTAGAAAACCTAAGCTTTTAAAATGATGACTAGCGTAAATATTTGTACTCGTAAAATTATTTGAGCTTACGGGCAAGATAAAACAGTTCGGGATCAGACTCTGTAATTCGTTTGAAAAAGTATTCCACAACGTTGAGTACTGCCACAAAGGCTGAAAAAATTAAACTGCAATGAGAAATATATAAATTAGTATTTCATTAGAAAGCATATCTTTTTGCACGTTCTAAGAGTGTCAAAATTGGTTAGAACGGGCAAAACCAGAATGACGATATTATGACCGTCTGTGTTTCTTTGCAAACTAGTCTCCCAGTTTTTAATTATCTCAACAAACTCTTTCTAATCTATTTCAGTTTGCAACAACTTACCATTTTTCTCCCTTTTCTTCACACATTCGAAGAATGGAAAACATAATCCGGAGCTTATTACTTGGAATTATAGATTCCAAATCTGCCTTTGTCAGATACCTACGCCACCAGTCATTAGTTACAGACATAACACCAGTTTGACTGTCATAAATATCATCTGGTTGATCTTCTTCGGAGTTTGGGCAATTGATTTTCTTTAATTCTTTTTTGTTTCTTTGCTAAAAATATATATACGGTTAATGGGTAAACGGTTAAAAAATGGTTATAATTAACAATAAGATGTTACGTACGTTTGTGGCATTTTTCCATGCGTCTTCTAATACCTTAGGGTGTGTCCATATCTAAGGAAGGAAAATATTATTATATATGATAAAAAATATTAAATATTACCTTTCTTAAAACAGTATAATCTGTTATCAGACTTTTGCCTCGACA